TTTCCCCTTTTATAGTCTGAATGTTTATACGGACCTACGATAAGTACGAAAAAAATATTTAATAAACGGTTTTTATTATTAAAAGTTTGAATACAAGAAATGTTAATAATTCATAAATGAAAGACATCTGATTCTTGTTATGGAGAGTAGAGTACTTAAGATTCACCCACTCCTAAGATGTAGATATGAGTTTGACCATCTATTATTGTTGGCGCTTTTTAATATATCAGAAGTTTTATTTGTTATCCTAATACAAAAAGATAACTTATGTACAGGAAGTAATCGACAGAGCAATGAGAGATGAATGATAGAGGTTTATTGGACAAGAAGACAAATGAGGACCGGTATTACAAAACAACTGACTTTCTTCGATGAAAAATTCTTCGGCAATCCTTCACTAAAGGTCGGATACGTTGGTGATCTGACGATAAAAATCCTCGAAAGAGAAGCCGTGGAAAAAGTCATTATTGATGGATTACTGATGAACACTTTCGCCCCCGGATATCGTTACCGACGAATCATCGACTGATTATACCGACAGATCACTAACGACCAAAAGTTAATAACTAAGAAAAGAAAAAAAATAGTTTTTGTCTATGATTTGTCGGTAATTTTAAATTTAAAAAAATAATTAAAAAATACGCATTTCATATACAATCAAACCTGCCAAAATTAGAAAATACTATACAAAATCAAATCTGTTATTAGAAATTAATCCTAAAATAACATAGAAATTAAATCTACATAATACTACAATGGGGGAGGGGGAAGGCTTCTACCCTAGAACTGCATCATTTATGCATTAAACTGTTTGGTCAACTGCTTTTGCCGAGCTAGCTCGTTTCCCGTCTCTTTTTCTTGTCGCTCCAAACCTGCCTTCTTTATCTATTCAGCATCCAATTGATCCTCGTAGCTCGCTAGTTTCTTTTAGCTCATCGATATGAAATTATTCAACGTTTGACAAACATATAACAATTTTAGGCAATAAATGATTAAAAAACAATGTACATATATGGCAAGGATATGAAACATACCTAACTGTGACTACCTTACGAGCTCCTGCTACTGCTATTGGTGCTTAGGATCACCGATCATAGCAAACTGGGGATCCTAACTACTCATGCATCCAAAGAAGTGCCCCTCATGCCGGCCTCCAACATTACGCTCGGTTATCGGAAGGAATGATGTTGGGATCTGAGCTGACGTATGTGTCCTCCCCTAGGACGTGAATACGTCTCTTACAATTTACCAAAACAATGCGTTAACTAACTTGTAGACAGTTTGGCAACAGAATTGTTGTAATTCGAACATATTTGTTACTTGTTTTTAACAAATATAACACAACCCTATCCTTTAAGTCTATCGCCTGCCCAACAATGAACATTGAAACTAATTAATAGTTATCTATCCTATAAAACCAACTAAAACGAGTAAGAAAAATGAACTTGTCGTTGCTCTAGCACACTTCGGATAAACTTTGATTGGAGGATATGTGGACGGACCGGTCGCACCCGAAACGGGCTTCTTATTGGTGCAATGTATCCTCTCAAAAAACTCGCTAGTAGTGGGCTCATAGCCCCATGCATCTTTCTACGATAGAGAACTTAAGTCGTTAGTTGATAACAAATTCACACACACACACACACACACATATATATATATATATATATATATATATATATAAACTGTTGGTCTCAAACATCGAATTTGTAAATAATACTTATTGTATCCGATCAAACATTTAGAAAAGAAATTATTGTTTAACTTGTCTTATGAGAAATATACTTGACGAACTTCATCCATCAGATAGTCTCAATATGGTAACACCCGAACCTCACGCTTTAGGTCTCAGATGTAACTGATTTATCGCATCTTCTTGTATTGATTGTGAAGCCAACTCTTTTACCTTTAAGATTTTACCATCCGATCAAGGAAATCCGACATACTTTCTTATTGGTCACTTAAAGCTTAAAGATTGAAATATATCCACAATTCATACCAAGTCTTTTTGCATCTGATCTTCACAATATTTTTATAGACAAAAATACGATATATAGCTTATATTTCAAAATATAAAAAGATATGACTTTTACTTGTAAAAGTCTCATAAATATATGTATTGATCCAAAAGTAAAATGCCTTCAACAAAATTGAAGACTAGTTGAAGTAAGGTCAATATTGCCACTGAATTGGATTGGTTTATTATCTAGTCAAAAAGAAGATTAATGCAAGATAAATTCAACTACTAGTCTAAGAAATACTACTGACAAGCTGAATTTTGGAGTACAAACTTGTTTAGCAAGTTCGGCTCACCAACTCTTCGACACCCATTTTAGTTCGAGAACATGCACAACATGTCAGCCAAAGTAAATTGTAAAATACTATTTTATTAGTGTTATACTTATTTTACTATTCTCTCGGCATAAAGAAGCATGTCATAGTTTAACAAGTGTCTATATCAATCTCAAAGGCTGAAATAAAAAGTACAAGCATGCATGGTTCGGCAAATCAAATGAAAAAATGCGTTAAAGTTAGACAGTAACATTAATTTAATGCAATGATAGCATTACAAGGTCACCCTTGTCGTTTATTATTACTCACCCGCTTTGAGAGAACTTCTTTGTAACTGTTTCCTAGGCAAAACCAACGTCAATATTTGAAGAACTTCTTTAGTCCAGCGGATCTGAAAGGCTACTTTTTTTCCCACACTCTTTTAGTGTTAGCAAATTTGTCATAGTCAGATTGTTTAGGATCATTGGTCTTACCTTCCTAGTTTTTGCAACAAATATGTAAATATTTGTTTTATACAAAACTAGTTGTGTACCCGCGCAATGCGGCGGGCGCCATGAATTTTAACGATTTTGAAGTTTCACTGGTTTTATAAGATAAAATTTAACGATAATATAGGTTACACTTGGTCTTTACATATGAATACAATTTGAATAAATAAGAGTTATGGTTCCAATTACAGACTATCGATGAAAAAATTGTATGACAGTTTAAAATCCAATATATTTAAACGACTCCACAAATGTATTCGATTTACACCAAGAGCAAAGAACCAAGAAACTTGAGTTTTAACATAAACACTCAAAAACCAATAAAGAAAACTATAAATTTAACAGATCATAAGTCATGAAAACACAAAAAAAGATGAGTTTTAGATTAAAATTTCAACTGTTTACCCTCTTTCTTGTCTAGAAACTCAGATTAAGGTTGAATTAATACATGTATATATATTTCAAAAAAACCCAAGAACTTATTATATAGTGCAATTTGGACAGCCTAACCCCAAAATATAATTATATATATATATATATATATATATAAATAAATAACTATAAAAGTATAAATCGTAAATATTTTTTCACAGTATATATAATATATAATGATATAATTAAGTCAAAAACTATTCAATATTGGACTCATTTCGAAGGTATTAACGAGACGATTATAATGGTGTAACTTGTTAAAATAAAAATATATTTTTTAAACATGTTTAAATTGATATACGATTATGTATATTAATTCGATAAAGGTTTAAAATGAAACATTTAAAAGTAAATGACGTAAAGTAAATTAATTTAACTAATTATAGAGGTATAAAGTGTAAATTTAAAATTATAATTTAAAAAAAAATCGGTTGTGAGAGGGTGAGTGTATGTGAGGGGGTGAGTGCATGTGAGGAGAGGAGAGAGTGAAAAAGTGTATAAAGGGTATCTTGGTCATTTAGTATTTTAAGACTTTAAGACTTTTGATAAATTTGCTTTATAAGATAGTATAGATATAGAATTAAAAAATGAAAATCGGATGTGTTCGTATTCAACTTCCTTCTACAAAAACTTCATGTGAAAGTCATCACTTCCAAGGACCAACATAAACTATATACATTTAGTATGGTAGTTGAAAAATTACCAGGTGATCCCGATACTGTTTGACTCTAACAGATCCCTCGTTGTGCCTGGACGACATCCCCTCATACTGGGTGTCCCGATGGGCCCTAGATTGATGCCTAAACATGTTGGTATTCCACACCTGTTAAAACATAACACACAAATTGATATAAAAACAATTACAAGTCATTACAAAAATTCAACCACACGTATCAGATCGATCATATCCCGCCAACGCATCTCTAGGATCTAGTTTGAGTGGTGTCCCCATAAGCGGCATGAAGTCCTGCTTGTTGAATTGTATGCCATCAACATCTAATCCCCATCTCTCGAACCATTTATGGGTATCCCTTATCTACTTCGGGTACCTATTTTGCACGGTACGACATAAGGCATTGAAAACGTCTGCCTCCTAATGGGGATCTAAGTTAAATTATCCTGTATACACATTGTTTATTAAGTAAACAAAAATTGAAAGAAATAGTTTTTATTGACTATAATACAAACACAAAAAATGCTTATACATGAGCCTGATGTGAGACTCAGGGACATCTCCATAGTAAGCCCTAGAACCGTCAAACATGGATCTAAAGATAAAGGTAGCCTTCTAGACAACAGGTTCGTCTAAAAAATCTTCACAATATTGCAAAATATACAACATAAAGGACATTAATATCAGTTTATTACATACTAGTAAATTTATACCACATTTACTTACCTGCTGCCTACCATCTTGAAGGGGGGTTGCTGACTCGGATGACGAAGGGTAATCGTCGTAGTATTCATTCATATGGTCCTCGAAACAAATTAATCCAGGGGACGGGGCCACAACCCTCGCGTCATCCTCCTGCTGGATCCGTTCCAGTTCCTATGTGAATGTGCTAACAACGTATTCATTGGACTCATCAGTGCGACGATCACCATGCCCGACAGAGTTTCTAATACCCCTGCTAGAGTCTCTACCTTATTGACTTACTGACGATTATGTACGAATTATTGATGGACACGTGGAAAATCATTTAAAAAATAAAAAAAAATTAATTTAAAATGGTCGGCAATAATTAAAATTATTGACGAATTTTCTTTTCGTCGAAAAAATTGACCGTGATGGGATTTCCATCGCTGTTCTGTAGGAAATTACCGACAAATCTGGCCGTCAGTGATGTCCGTCCGTGAAAGTTAAATTTCTAGTAGTGGTAAGACCGTTGAAGAAAAGAAGGTTAATTGATCCTTTAAGAACAAATAAGAAAAATTTAGGAAGATATCTAAAGTTAACATCTTTATATTCATCAATTGACAACAATTTTAGAAAATCAATATTCCATCGATTTCTATCTAGAATCGTAAAATTTTGGTCATAATATACGTTTACTATGACACACAATATAATTGCTCACCCAATATTTTTTGTTGAGCAAGTACACCTTTAAGGTGGATTACAGAAACCACAAGGGTGGTGTCTGATTGATTTGAGTTTGACTCTAAAGGTTAAAAGTACCAGGAGGGCCCAGGTTCAAATCAAAGGAGAAATAAAAATACCCTTGTGATCACGGAGGTTCAAATGCGGTGACTCCGGGCTATCTGCAAAGCAGGTGGTCGTCCTGGGATTAGTCAGCTCACATAGCTATGCGGGTTGGATATCCAGGTTAATAAAAAAAAAATGGATTAAAAGTCCGTAAAATTGTCGAATGTGTTTTCAGCCGAATTCTATTGTCTCAAATGATTTGTTCTTACAAAATTGGTTGACTATGAGGGAATTTTTCATTTCTTTTCTTGATTTCAACATATTTTTTTAATTTTCGGTTTTTAGAATGATTTTAAAAGACTTTTTCCAGGTGATGTTTCATGAATTTTTTCTGATATCCTAGAACACTATTTAAAATTTACCAGTGTCTTTTCATACATAAAAAAAGATTCTACTTATAAAAATAAAAATAAGTTCAACAAATATATATTTGAAAAAATGATTCCTGTTATTATTATATTGTAGTGAGGTGAAAAAGAAATTCAAATTTAATTAATGTCAAAACCAAAATTGTTTTCTAGTAAAAATACCGACCAATTGAGATAAACACATGGCAATAGAAAAGAAACAACAATAATTAGAGATCGAGCACATGATGTAAACGAGTGATGATTGATCGATGATCTCGATCGTTAACTCGCTCTTTCTAAGTTTCCATATATAATTCTCGTAGCCGAAATTTTCTTTTGTGCGTATGATTGACGTGTGTTCAAAGAAATAAATGATAGAATTAAAGTGCAATGGGAGGAAGCTATAAAAAGAAAGGTCGGTTTTGGTGCATACAACCAACCCTATTTAGGGTATCAAATGCATGCCTAGCTTCCTGTTATCTATCGTTGTCTGTTTGATTGATGATCCTTCTTACTTTATTTTCAAGTTAGGTTTTTATTTTCAAATATACCGGTGGTGTCAATGTCTTCCTTTATGTACCGACAAATGCCGCGTTTACAATATAGCTAGAAACAGAAAAAACGAGCAAAATTTTTGCAGGATATTGGTGTAATGTGTCTCCAACAAACATGCATGCATGTACGCGTTAGGTTTATTGGATCATCTCCGTCCAAAATTATAATGCTTTTCTTCCCTTACGAGAATCTCAACAATTTTTGTGGTAACTTTTTCATCGTAAAGTTGCAAAATATTTGCTTCATTGTCATCTTTATATATACATAAATTAATGGTATTCATTGATGAATAAAAACTCCCGTTTATAACTGGACGAAGAATGTACCTATATCAAATTGTTTATAATTCGATGCCACTGAAATTACAATCAACCATGATTAATTAATAGCAACACTGCAAAAGTCCAAAACTAACCAGTACTAAGGTGAAAGCAATCCGACCTTTGTGGAAATTGATGTTGAACTAAATCATCATACCTAAAAAACTAAACCATCAGAGCGGTGACTCGTGATGAAAGGCGTAACGTTGGAAACTTTGGTGAACGTTAATACTGAAGTCATTGGCCAAGGAATGAAGAAACTTCACTAATAAATTAGTTTAAGTTTGAAGAAAATCATACTGTTTAAGCAACGATTCACGAAAATCAGTTTTTGATCTTAACTATGTGTGGAAAAGAATCTATATCAAGAAATAACCACTATAACCAATATCAACGTTTATAGATCTCTTTCTAGAATTTTAAAAGCGAATTACCAAATTCAAGTAGCATTTTGATGTCTGAATATGTTGGGTTTATGGATGGTAACACGATGGGGAAACCAGTTTCTCCACGATGAATATGAATACATGTTCTAGACCCCGATGCATAAGAATACGCGTTCTTCTATAATTTGCATAGATACAATTATATGAACGTTAGACACCATTTTCGCCATGATTTGTAAATATAATCGTTCAATTGAATACATAATATTTAATCGACTAAACTTATATACATTTGTCCAAACATACACGGTTGATGAGATATTTCAACTTAGTTTTTTATTCATAATTCATGACAAAAGGAACCATTTGGGCAACCACATTTGACATTTGAGGAGTGCTTTTAAATGAAAACTATGGGTGACACATATATTCATATCACTTTATGATTCTTGTTTTCTAGCCCAGCTCTAACACTATAGTTTATACATGTTGCTTAACGTGGATATCGTGTTATAATCTTTAAAAGATTCACGAGTACATAAGCATAAGACAATTTGTCAGCATGCTTTTGTATCTACATCAACGTCTTTGATCTTCCTTGTTGGAAATTCACCGGGAATGAAGAATTACAGAAGATATTTAAGAGGTTTTCAGTTTAATCCAAAATCCAGAATCATGTGTTCATTAATTCACCTGTTCATTACCGAGGAGGTTTAAAGGAGCTATTAGTGTTTCATATGCAGTTGCCCGTTTTCCATTCTCTTTCGCACCAAGCTTTTCTAGTTGGGAAACATGTAAATCTAGAGCAAACCGTGTAAGTTTGATTCATGTAATTAACTGATCATGATTAGACCTCCATTAATATAACATCTCGGACTAACCATATTAAATATTGTCAGTTTTTCCACACACTTAGACTCACGGTTTTAAAACTTATTTGATATAAGAGATATCAAATCCCTTATACAACAACATCTGTTGTGGTTGAATCTTACAATTAATTAAAGAGAAAGTTAATGAGAAAATCTCGACTAAAACCATGTACAAAAATCAAAGCATATTTCTAGACATGGATTCATTGCAAATGGATCAAATCTTTGTGTGCATGCATGTAAATGGACATAGAAATTAAAAGAAAGGTGAGAATATTTCATTCTTTTTAGGTTATTCTTGATGCCTTGTCTTGTTCTAAATTCGATACCATTAATCCTCTTTTACCATATGGAAATCTTTGACCTTTTCTTGTTTGTTTTGGCTGTTAATTTTAAGCCATTTATTATATTAATATTAATATAATTTGAAATTAAAAGGGTTTTCATTGACTTGTGACGTGTACGATGGTCTAATGCCTCTATGGAGGCATAAAAAGGAAACATACCTAACCAGTAAGGCATCAAGGACCAGACGAAGCAGCCCACATGCCAACACTTGTACACCAAAGACAATTCTAAGTCTTAAAGCACAACCCATGAACCATCCTTCACACTTCCACTCTTTACGAACCAACGCCACCTTTTGAATGTTCCATTTTGTAAAAATCCCTTTATTTTGATAAAAATATACGTTATTTATTTTATTACCGAACGATTCAGTAATTATTACTTTGTTGTAATAATCTTGTAATAATCTCGACTGGAACACTTGGTGTATCATCCCCTTATCGGCTTTGTTGTAAGCGCTAGCCTTCGGTGGTTCGTTAACAAGATTGTTGTTTCTAAAAAGAAAATCTTTGAAAATTTAGTTCGGACTTGTGATTATGAACTTCCATTTTTAAATTCCTTAATTCAATATCGATTTTGATTAGTAATTTATTTGAAATTAAATATAAAGATTGCCTATTAATTAATCAAAATTAGAGACCTTTTACTCAAATGCTTACCCGGTAAAGAAGTCTAACACTATAATTTATTTTGATGTGTAAGATTTTAGTACGTCAAAACATATCGAATGCAACAATTTACTTAGTAAGCGCTTACCTAAGTAAGAGTCGTCAAGACTCTTCATCTTTCTCATTGCTCTTATCCGGTAAAATTCTTGGTCATTCTCATGTTCATCCGATTAAGAAATTTATTCGGTAAACATTTACCAAGTAAGTGTTTAGTCTACGAACCCTTAATGTTTTAATATCTTATGAATCAAAATTACCAATTAGTAAGTAAATTCTGAATTTCTAATCATAAGTTTACCAAAAAAAATTATTTGTGAAAAGTTAAAAAAAAAAGTAATGGATGGGGATGGATGATACGTGGTTGGCTCACGCAAGCAATGAAGCAATTAGGATTGACTTCGTTTGAAAAGTTGAATATCTTTCTTTCTCTCTCTATATCTTTCGGCAACACTAAAACACGTAAACAGACAAAAATTAAGACACACATTCCTATCTATAAATACCCCTTATCATATCCTATACTTTCTTCATTATTTTGTGAGAGAACTCACTGAGTTTCTTGAAATATTTCCACAAACAACACTCGATATCTTGAAGATAAACACACACACACACACAAACACACAGTATGGTGATCTTGAGAGAAAAGCAAACCCTTTTGTCAAAGATTGCAACAAGTGATCAACATGGAGAGAATTCACCTTACTTTGATGGATGGAAAGCTTATGATCAAGATCCATTTCATCCTACTCAAAACCCTAATGGTGTTATCCAAATGGGATTGGCAGAGAACCAGGTATATATTACTTTTTGTTGTTTTGTTTGTATTTATTTTTCATGCATGTGCATGATTAAAAATTGAGTTGTATGTTCTTGCAGCTTTCGCTCGATTTAATCGAGAAATGGATCGCAAAGAACCCTAAATCATCAATCTGTACCATTGACGGCGTCGACCGCTTTAAAGATATTGCAAATTTTCAAGACTATCATGGCTTATACAAGTTCCGAGAGGTAATCACTTATGAAATGCATAACGATAAACCGTGTGAAAAGATTGTTAATGTAATAAAAATATATATCATTGCGTCAAAACTTATAAAACTCGTTTGTTTTTTCAGGCAATAGCAAATTTTATGGGTAAAGCAAGAGGAAATAGGGTTACATTCGATCCCGAACGCATAGTGATGGGTGGCGGAGCAACCGGAGCCAGTGAATCGTTAATCTTTTGCTTGGCAGATCCTGGTGATGGTTTTCTTGTTCCCACTCCATATTATCCTGCGTAAGTATATATATTAAATAAAACTCTTTTCAATTTATTATGGTATATATAGAATTGGCTTACATTGTATATATACATATAAGGTTGTGTTCACGTGAGACCAAGCTGTTTTCGTGAGACTATATTTTTACACTTGAAACTTCACAGCAAAAACATTGTGAAGGTTTAAAAAAGTCGAACCTTCACAGCATTTTGCTGTGAAGTTTCAAGTGTAAAAAGCTGGTATCACGGGTCTCACGAAAACAGACTGGTCTTACGTGATCTCAAGTCTATACATACATATATATATATA